AGGCTCCTAAAGATCAAATTAAAAGGAAACATGGAAGTTGCCTGAATCTCTGCTAAAGCCAGACAATTTGAAGGAAGAAGCAGTAAGTTACAACTCAGAAGCAGGCAGAACTTTGAACTTTACTTGCCATAATCCATTTGTTATAATATAAACTTTAAAATTGAAAAAAGAAAGTATTTTTAGGAACACTGTCATGTTATAATCTACATAGGTTATAATGTGCTCTAATAACTGAAGTTGGGCCTTTTAGAGTCAGAAGATGCAACCCAACAATATTCTTGCTATTTTGGAATACGTCATGTTCACAAAAATTGTGCATAAAAGATAGGTACTATTTAAGTAATAATTGTAAAGTGAACCATCAGACCAGCTCCAGGCTAAGAAATAGAATATCACCAGTAACTGAAGCCCCTCATGTGTCCTTCCAAGAACATAGCCCATCCCTTGCCTCAGAATGGAACACTAAGCTGATGTTTGTGAGCTCCTTTGCTTTCCTTTACAGTTTTCCTGACCTTTATGCACAACTTTAAACAACATAGTTTATGGCGCCTGGGTGGCTCCATTGATTAAATGTCTAACTCTTGATTTCAGCTCAGGTCATGATCTCAGGATTGTGAGATCAAGACTGCCTTGGGTTCGTGCCCAGCATGGAGACTGCTTAAGATTCTTTCTCTCTCCCTCTGTCCTTCCCCCTCTCTACTCCTCCCCCCACCCCCATACGCATGCATGTGTGTGTGCTCTCTCTCAAAAAAAAAAAAAAATATATATATATATATAGTTTACTTTTAACTGATTTTGAACATTATGTAAATACAATAAGATTGTATTTTATGTAACATTTTATGGTTTCTCTCTTTTGTACAATATTACATTTGTGAAACTCATCTGCATTGATATCTATAGCTATAGTTTATTTTTATTTCTGCCTAATAGTCCACCATATGAATATAATGTATGAAACAAAATCTATTTTGCTGTTGATAGATATTTGATTGTTTTTATTTGGAGTCCATTTGCTACTACCAACTTCTTTCTATGTGTCTCTGTACACACGTGAAAGGGTCTCTCTGGTATACCCTAACAATGGAACTGCCTTGCCATAGAATATGCACAACTTCAACTGGACTAGATGAAAATAAGTTACAAACAATGGCAAGTTCAAGTTGTATCACTTTGACTCTATGAGGAGTTTCTATTGCTCTAGATCCTGTGGACACTTAATGGCATTGCTCCCTCTTTTTTTGCCAAAATGATGGGTATGTAATAGCATATTATAGTGGTTTTAATTTATGCTGTCCTGGCTATTAATGAGGTTAGGCAGCTTTGCATAGATTAACTTGACATTTAGATTTTGTTTTTTCCTCTTGTGCATTTTTCTGTTGGATTCTCTGCATGTCGTGATATTCTGTTTACATAACCATGGTCAGTTACATGTGTGCTGATAGCTTCTCCCACTCTGGGTTGCCCTTTCTTCTTCTGGTATCATCTGATAAACATTATAAGTCAAAGTTATTAATCTCTTCCTTATGGTTAATGCCACTTGTATCTTGATTAAAAATTATTTTGTTTATCCCAAATTCCATGAAGATATCTTTCTATATTATCTTCCAAGAGTTTTGCGATTTTCCTTTCAAGTTCAGATGTTTTTTGGGTCACGTGAAATAGGAACACAACTTCAGTGTCTAAAACTATGGATTCCCAGTTATCAATGCACACTGTTCATTGAAGTCTACTCTTTCCTCAAATCTGCTCGGCCAAGTGTCTATATACTGTGGGTCTTTTGGAGGCTCTGTGTTTTTTTCTATTGATTTATTTATCTATCTCTGTGTCAATGCTACAACATTGCAATATTTTTATATTTGTTCTTCCTTATTTTTCTTCTAGAACACTCAACGATTCTTGGCTCTTTGTTGCTTCCATTTAAATTTTAAAATCAGCTCATTGTGTTCCACCAAAACAAATAAGCAAACAACTACTGCTACAACAAACCCTGCTGTGATTTGATTCTAAGCAATTTTTTAAAAATATAGATCAATTTGTGGGGAATTGACATCTCTTAAGAAATTAGTTTTTCGGTCTATGATCATGCTTTACCTCTGCATCTCCTTAGGTACCCCCAGTGATTCTCTATATACCTTTCTAATTTTTCCCACAAAGCTGTAGAACATTTTCTAGATATGTTACTTCATATCTAGTTTCTTGAATCCTTCATTATTTTTTTAAAGATTTTGTTTATTTATTTGGTAGAGAGAGAGAGACAGTGAGAGAGGGAACACAGCAGGGGGAGTGGGAGAGGGAGAAGCAGGCTTCCCGCTGAGCAGGGAGCCCCACACAGAGCTTGATCCCAGGACCCTGGTATCATGACCTGAGCCAAAGGCAGACATTTAACGACTAAGCCACCCAGGTGCCCCTTGAATACATGCAGAGAACACTTGAAGACACTGGGTAGGTCTCAGCCCAATCATTTTGGTCTCAGTTACAGACCCAGACCCAAAAAGCACCATTTAAGTGTCACTCAGGTATTTAGGGAAATTGTCCAGCCAACCACCACTTTCCCAAAAGGAAGCAGGAAGAAGCAAAAGATAATCATATCTTCTTCCCTATATATAGCATCTCCAAACCATCCATTCACTACTTCTACACAGATGACTTCTCCCTGACACTAGACCTGAGCTATAGTCGCAAGATGACCAGGTGAGCTTCTCTGCTTGTTTCTGGAATGTGAATGTCCCAGGCATGGAGGAAGGAGGTGTTACTGAGCTTCCTTCCTTGTGTATTGGAACTGGGGTTGTGTGCCTAGAGCTTATGGTAACACTGAAAGGATGTAGCTATTGGGTACTTGTATTGATAAAGGACATAAATGTGTGTGTTTAAATTGGAGCTTCCAGGTACCCAAAGCACATGAGAGAAGTTTCCTTGCTGTTGGTCTGTTTTCTGTTTCTGATTTTCCTTGTACTCCGATTCTCTTTCTTTTGTGTACCTTTCAGAGTCAAGTGGGGATGAGAGTATCAAACTCTAAGGAACTTGGAAGGAGACCAGTTAGGCTACAAATAAACTTGGGCAGGGTGATAAAGTCAAATGCTTCTCTGATTAATCTGGGATTATTCAAAATGCTTTAGGTCTCCTGGGCTGGTGGGGGGACATATACTCTATAAAGAATATTGGGCATCACATCATCTCTTCTTTCCTATTGTTTTCTTCAGGTTGGATGCATTCAGGATATCCCATCATGTGCCATGTGCGGTCAGTGCCTATGTTCCCTGATGAGGGGATCATAAGGTCCGAAGGCATTTGGGTTCCCTTCCACAAGGTGGACCACAACCAGCAGTGATTGGATGGGATATCTGTCCCCACACCACTGAGGCCATGTGCAACCTCTGGCCAGTCTATATGCATGAGATGGTCCAGGACATCCCCAGCTCAGACTCACTCTGCTCTTGAGACCAAAGCTGGACAAGGGGGACGCCTGCATGACTGGAACGTGTGGATAGCTCTGGAAACATATCTTCAGGTACTGAGTAGAAATGGGGAGATTGGAACCACCAGACCCCCCCCCAAGGTATATAATATCCTGGTGACCCCAGGAGTCCCACGACTCCTGCATCACCCACACCAGCCATGGGCACACTGCCTCCCCTTGATGAGGGAGACTGGAATGCACAGGGGTGTCTCTCAGGTCTTAAGGTTTTAAGTGTCTAAAATGGATAATAATATGTGTCCTGCTCCTCTCCTCTACCTCCAAACTTCGTGGAAATAAATGAAAGTGGGTGGAGTTATTGAAAATATACAATAACACAGCTCTGGCCAGACAACCTTGAGGTAGACTCTCAGCTTTGCCAGCTACAAGATCAGTGGTTTCTCCTGAGTTATCTTTACAGTTCAGAAGATGACTTCACCTCACTATCGCAATGCATTACAAGGGCGTGTTTTGGGAAGAATGACCTGGTAGCAAGTTTCTCACAATGGCATCTTTCTACTCAAATCCCAAATTCTGGTTTCACTATAAAATAAATAATATGTACACAGTATTTTACAGCATTTTGAAAACTTTCCTTCCATTTTTCAACGCAATTCTTGCCAGGCGTGGAAAATACAATCCTCATTTTACAGATGCAGGAACTGAAGGCTAAGAGCATAAGCAGTTTGCATCAACCTTTTAAATAACCAGAAAGAGACAGACTTACAACTCAAGTTCAGTGTTCTGACTCCTGATTCCCTGCTTTTTGTCTTACAGCAAACTGTCTCCAGATTTTCACTGACTTCACAATTCCAAAGAGTCTGAGATTACTTCAGACAGGAAGGTAGCTTTGGACTTACACCATTTCCCCTGGCAGTAAGGAATCTGAGCGTTAGCAGGAAAGAATCCCAGTCCCAGCCAGAAGATTAACAGGCAAGTTCAAATCAAAGCCCCTGGGGGTAGACTTCCTTCACTGCTCTCTATCTAGATTTCCATTGCTCTGGGCTGACTCCTGTGCAGGGCCAAGTCACCACCAGTCTGACTCCATTCCCTGCACCATGGTCAAAATTCAAGTCTCCAGTGTCTCTAATCTGAACTATTCCAGTAGCCTTTTCACTGGGCTCCCTACCTCTAGGTATGATCCCAACTGACATGTTTTCCAAACTGCTGCCGAATAAACCACACATGCCAGTTAAAAGGCCCTCAGTGACTCCCTATTGCCTTCAGGTAGAATGCCAGACTCTTCATTTTCTGGCTCTTATCTTCCTATCTCGAGTTCTAGCTCCCACCTTCTCATTCTCCAGCAAATCCAAATTGTTTCTAGTCTTCAGCACACATCACCATGGTTTACATTTCTGTATGTTTATAGATATTGCTCCTTCTCCCTAAAATAGTTTTGCCTTCTTTATACGCCAGGAAAACTCCTGTTAATCTTTCAAGCTAAGCTCTCCAAGATGCCTTCCCTGAATGTGTTCCTTTGAGATATTATTTACTTGCTCCCCATGTTACTTCTGTGTCCTAATGACACCACGTTATTAGTCACCTGTTTAAGCAGCGGTCTCTCTCATCAGGCAGTATAACAGAGTCTTCTCCTTTTCCATCTCTGTGATCCTGGTGTTCAGCACTGCACGTGGTGTCCTGTAGATGTTCAACGAATGCTTGGTTATAATTAGTATGAGATATTTCCTAATGACACAGACTGATCACAGCTGAGCAATAATGAAGAACAACAGTGGTGCTGGTTGAGACACTCTACTTTCACTTATCATAAGGCTGTGATTCTCCAGGGTCCCTAAGGATATTGCTCCATAGTCTAGGACCAGTATTCCACATAAACACCTATACTTTTTTGTTTCCTAAACCAGTAAATTGCTTTCTTTTGCTTCTACCAGTTTGAGTTGAGTTCCAATCACCTGTCCTCATAAAAGTTCAACTGAAATATTTTCTTTTCCTCCAGTTTGCTGATAGAGCAGTGTGACTCCTGTCTTTTCTCACCGAGGATTTGCTCTGGTGTCACATCTCTTTCCTCTACTCACAGTGGATGGACGCCACCACAACCTGAGTCAGCACAGTGAAAACACAAGCCAGTTTTCCACTGATGGTAAAGATAGCCAATGATGACCATGGATTCTACCTCTAGAATTCCATGATTCTGAAACCATACACTCTTGATTTTAAAGGTAGCCTTGGATAGAGAGAATCTTCAGACAGGCAAAGGATTTGTTTATTTCCTGCTTTGGAAAGACAGGAGTCTGGTCAGTAAGGCTAACCAATGGTTCTATCTCCTCTTGTAGGTCTCAATTTAAAAACCACTTCTTAGAGCAAAGTCTATACCCAGCTGTGTCCTGACTATGGGCACTGTTACCTACAGTCATACCCCCTGATTCCTTTCCTACTTCTCATCACATTTGCAGCAATGTTTGTTTAATGTTTTCTTCCCTAACTGGCCTGTACATTTCATGAATGTGGGGCTGATGTCTGCACTTCTTAGAGCTTTACCCCCAACTCCTAGCACAGGGCCTGGCACACCAAAAGGTATTTGTTGACTAGATGAAGCTAAACAAGACTGAGTTTCCCAACTCCTGCCTCCACTGAATATCCTATACAGGCCTATGATATTTAATGAAATTCAAAGACATTCTTCCATTCCTCTAGAAGGGAAGCTGCAATATGACTTTAGTATTTATTCTATTTTTTCTACCCCATTCCTTGCTACATAAATGTTGGTCATATTGGTAGTCAGATTAGATGAGAAGTTAACTTTCCACTGGTTTCCTCTCCCACCGCTTCTATATATTCAAGATTCAGTATCGATAAGAATGTTTTCAGCAAAAATTTTGTGGGGGATGATGATGGAAACTTTCAAGGGAAATAATCAGCTTTTAAAAAAATATATTTTGGGGTGCCTGGGTGGCTCAGTTGGTTAAGCAACTGCCTTCAGCTCAGGTCATGATCCTGGAGTCCCAGGATCGAGTCCCACATTGGGCTCCCTGCTCAACAGGGAGTCTGCTTCTCCCTCTCCCACTTCCCCCCTCTTGTGCTCTCTCTCTCTCTCTCAAATAAAAAAAGATAATAAAAATAATAAATAAAAAAATATATTTTATTTATTTATTTTACAGAGAGATAGTGTGTGTGCGTGCACAAGAGCAGGGGGAAGGGCAGAGGGAGAGAGAGAATCCCAAGCAGACTCTGAGCCCAGTGCAGAGACCCATGCAAGTCTCAATCTCATGATCCTGAGATCACGACCTGAACAGAAACCAAAAGTCAGATGTTTAACCAACTGAGTCACCCAGGTGCCCCCAAAGAATCAGCTTTTAATTAAATTCCTTAGACCTTAACATTTTTATGGTCTGTCTTTACTTCTTCCCACACTTGTTTCTTCTCACTTGAACTTCAACCAACATTAATTTTGGAAAGGCTCTTTTTTTTTTCTGAATTGTCACTTTCCCTGGTCCTGCTGTAGGTCATTAAATTCTGGATCAAAGGCATTCCTCTAAATCAGGATGATTCCCAAATCTCTTAACAGCATCAACCAAAATAATTCCAGTCCTTTCCTGTCTGTCCTCAAGATGGCACACTAAGCACAGGCTCCAGCTTCTCCAAAAACCTGGCTCTAAATTTCTACAAAGACAAGGTCTTTTCTAAAACTCCATGGATCAGAAGAATAAACATTGTTAAAATGTCTATGCTACCCAGAGCAATCTATACCTTCAGTGCCATCCCGATCAAAATTCCAATGACATTTTTCAAAGTGCTGGAACAAACAATCCTAAAATTTGTATGGAATCAGAAAGACCCCAAATCGCCAAGGAGATGTTGAAGAAAAAAAACAAAGCTGGGGCATCACGTTGCCCGATTTCAAGCTATAGTACAAAGCTGTGATCACCAAGACAGCATGGTACTGGCACAAAAACAGACATACAGACCAATGGAACAGAATAGAGAACCCAGATATGGACCCTCAACTCTATGGTCAAATAATCTTCCACAAAGCAGGAAAAAACATGCAATGGAAAAAAGACAGTCTCTTCAATAAATGGTGCTGGGAAAATTGGACAGCCACATGCAGAAGAATGAAACTCAACCATTCTCTAACACCATACACAAAGATAAACTCAAAATGGATAAAAGACCTCAATGTGCGACAGGAATCCATCAAAATCCTAGAGGACAACATAGGCAGTAACCTCTTTGACATCGGCCACAGCAACTTCTTTCAAGATACATCTCCAAAGGCTAGTGAAACAAAAGTAAAAATGAACTTTGGGGACTTCATCAAGATAAAAAGCTTCTGCACAGCAAAGGAAACAGTCAACAAAACAAAGAGGCAACCCACAGAATGGGAGAAGATATTTGCAAATGACACTACAGATAAAGGGCTGGTATCCGAGATCTATAAAGAACTTCTTAAACTCAACACCCAAAAAACAAATAATCAAGTCAAAAAATGGGCAGAGGATATGAAAAGACACTTCTCTGAAGAAGACATACAAATGGCTAACAGACACATGAAAAAATGTTCATCATCATTAGCCATCAGGGAAATTCAAATCAAAACCACATTGAGATACCACCTTACACCAGTTAGAATGGCAAAAATGGACAAGGAAAGAAACAACAAATGTTGGAGAGGTTGTGGAGAAAGGGGAACCCTCTTACACTGTTGGTGGGAATGCAAATTGGTATAGCCACTTTGGAAAACAGTGTGGAGGTTCCTCAAAAATTTAAAAATAGAGCCACTCTATGACTCAGCAATTGCACTCCCGGGTATTTACCCCAAAGACACAGATGTAATGAAAAGAAGGGCCATATGCACCCCAATGTTCATAGCAGCAATGTCCGCAATAGCCAAACTGTGGAAAGAGCCAAGATGCCCTTCAACAGATGAATGGAAAAGAAGATGTGGTCCATTTATACAATGGAATATTACTCAGACATCAGAAAGGATGAATACCCAACTTTTACATCAACATGGATGGGACTGGAGGAGATTATGCTAAGTGAAATAAGTCAAGCAGAGAAAGTCAATTATCTTATGGTTTCACTTATTTGTGGAACATAAGGAATAGCATGGAGGGCATTAGGAGAAGGAAGGGAAAAATGAGGTGGGGGGGGAATTGGAGGGAGAGATGAACCATGAGAGACTCTGGACTCTGAGAGACAAACAGGGTTTTAGAGGGGAAGGGGGAGGGGGAATTAGTTAGCCCGGTGATGGGTATTAAGGAGGGCACGTACTGCATGGAGCACTGGGTGTTATACGAAAACAATGGATCGTGGATCACCACATCAAAAACTAATGATGTATTGTATGGTGACTAACATAACATAATGAAATTTAAAAATAAATAAATATAAATAAATAAATAAATAAATAAATAAATAAATAAATAAACAAATAAATATAAAACTCCAACACATTATTGGAAAACCAGAGGCTGGCTCCCCCTAAAAGACCCAGGAAGGTGGTATCACATGGTAAAAGGTAACCAAGAACCTGCCCAGCACAAAGTGCTTTACAGAGCAGGAGTGGCCATAGGAATTCTCCAAGTCTAGAGGAAGTAGATTGGGGGAACAGATAAATCTCAAGAATGCAGAATGACACAATTCTAGTACAACTAATGTGTTCACTGACTTCAAAGATTATAAGAGAAAAACTTCATGATCTTGACAGAAATAACCTGAAAAATCCAAGACCCACTCAGGATTAAACATTTGCAGCACAGAGTAGTAAGAAACTTCCTATAACAAATAGTATATCTACTAGAAACCTCTAGCAAAGCATTATATTCAGTAGTGAAAAGTTAGAAGAATTCACATTAAATTCAAGAATATGAGAAGAATGTTCATTCTTGGTACTACCTTTCAGCGTACCCCTGGAGGTCCTTACTAATGCATGAATATAAGAAAAATAGACAGGGGCGCCTGGGTGGCTCAGTCGGTTAAGCGGCTGCCTTCGGCTCAGGTCATGGTCTCAGGGTCCTGGGATCGAGCCCCGCATCGGGCTCCCTGCTCAGCGGAGAGCCTGCTTCTCCCTCTCCCTCTGCCTGCCGCTCTGCCTACTTGTGCTCTCTCTCTCTCTCTCTATCAAATAAATAAATAAAATCTTTAAAAAAAAAAAAAGAAAAAAAAAAGAAAAATAGACAAACTAGGAAGGAAGAAACAAAATAGTCATTATTTTTGGAAAATACAACCCTCTATATTTTGGGGGTGGACCTAACAGACTTGGAGAATGAATCAGATATGGCGGGGACAGGTAAGAGAGATCAAGCATGATACCTGGGCTCCTGGCTTGAGCCCTCAGTGTTTTTCATATCTTTAACTGATATAGTGGGAAACAAAAATATGGGATTAAGAAAAATATCAACTAGGCAGTTTGATAGAATAGAAGAGGTCAGGTCTGAAATATAAATGTATAATTCATTAGAATATAGACAGTATTCAAAGTTTTAGACCACACTGAATTCCTTAAGAAAAACACTGAGAATGCTACCAGCTATTTTGAGACAAGCTAATGAGATTGGGAAGGACTAGCCTGGTAAGATAAGAGAAAAGCCCAAACTTCTTATAGTATCACAGAACTACAGAAAAGAAAAAAAGTTTTTTTAAAGCAGAGGAAGAGGAAAATATCCAGTTGTTGA